GGAATACGATGCCGAGGTGGTTTTTGAAGCACTCAGCCTGATCCCGAAGACTTTGCAATCCGAAAGGGTTGAGCCATTTTGATTGTTGCCCGGCCGTGCAGACAAAAACTAATGCTTGCATTGCATGGGTAGGCTCCTTGATTTTCTAGTCAGCTTATCTGTCTAAACTTTGCACGATCTGGCCCTGGCTGAGGTCAGTGCGAAGCCATCCCGGAGGAAATCATCGATGCAGCTCCTGAGCCTGAGTCGGACCACGTGCCGCATTACTAAGCTTAAACCTTATTTCCCTGAGAGCTGTAATAATGCCAGACCCTGGCACCTTAAAAGATGCAGGCTTTGCTGCTGGGCTCTAGTACAGGTAGCTACCCGAAAGCACGTGTGTGAAGATTTGGGAGAGCTGCACGATGCCATCTAGCAATCTGATCGGTGAGGGGCGACCTCGATGAAGAAAGGAGCTGTGCGACAACTGAAAGCCCGAAAGCCTAAACCCTAACCTACCAAACCCCAAGCCAACGACCTTAGAAATCTTACTCGTGCTACTCTCGCTCGGTCCTTTGAGGTTATTGGGTGTGAAGGTGCAGCATATTATCGGAATAGCATACAGCCCCAAAGCTTAAACCCCAGCTATACTAAACCCCAAGCCAACGAGCTTCTAATTCTTGCTGGTGCTACTCTCGCTCGGTCCTTTGGGGTTATAATAGGTATGAAGGTGGGATTTGGGGTCATACTATCGGAATATATATATATATATATATATATAATATATATTAATTATAATGATATTGTATGTAAATACTACTGCTAGCCAGGTCTGCACGTACTAGTTATAATGGCAGTACATGTAGATGTTCCAAGCCCTGCCCTCGACGTTCTTGCAATCCTCAGAACTCGAGGCCTAATAGATAGTCTGTAACATGCAAGCCTCCCCAATGAATCATCGGACTCCTGCATCGTACCCAAACCCACTAGGAAATCTGAACGAACCCGGTACTTGCAATACACTTTATTCATCTCATTACTGCAAACTCAGCTGGCCACTCGGCCATGACCATCAACCTGTAGATGTAGAAGCGCCACCACCTGCACGCAGATGAGAACACCGCATTTGCCGACTACTTGTTGGCTTCCTTGGGCTCCGGTGTCCATTAGCTGCATTGGCGAATTTTGATCTAGATAGGCTTTGATCGCTAGGACTACGACGGGATTGTAAGAAAGCTGCTCAGCGTTTTTCGATCCGTGCCCGGAGTTACGATGTTGCTGCTCAGAGGTTTGTCGGGTACTAACGTATATCGCACTCTGTGTCTGAGGCTACTTCTACTGCGGAACTACAGAAAGCTGCTGCTGCTATGGTCAAAGAATCCCGCAACAACTGCTCTGATATGACACGTATGTTTGCACGTGCCGGCTGCTCCGGCAAATATCCGGGCAATGTGGAATCTTGGTTTCAAGTGGGGGGGGGGGGCGGGGGCACATGAACATGAAACCTGAAGTATAACTGGACCCCTAACACCCAGCTCTCCAAGGAAAGAGATATAATGCGTGGACTTGAGCTCCCGGTGGCTTCTTGGCTGTTATTTCGAAAGCGCTTCTTAAAATACCCTCAAACCCTTAAGCTTAAGTGCCCCTAAGCCCTAGAAACCCTGAACCCTGAACCCTGAGTTTAATATATAATGCATATATAGATCCAAATCAGGACGTGCATTATGTGGAGATCCCTGTACTGGCCGCTGTGAACCGACGAGAACGCACCACGATGAATCTTCCAATCATCTACCCGCATGAGCTGATACATTTCCTTCATGAGCCCTATCTGCAATTGCAATTGTCTGTGATTTTTGTTCATTATCCAGCAGATCCAAGGACACTGGCAAGGTCAAAATCGGCCAGCCGGCTATCGATGAGTATTGGGCTCATTTGGAAGCCCACCAAGAGTGGGCTGCTGTGCACCCTGGATACAATTGTATGCCTATCGGCCTACACGGCGACGACGGGCGGTACAATAAACCTGGCGACAAAGTCATCGTGGTGACTTGCAACTTTATATTGGCCAGAGATGTTGACCGAAGCCTGAACGCAAGCATTATTGTTCAGTTTAATTTAAATTTTCTATTTAGCATAATAAGCTATCTATATATATATATATATATATAATCATCCGGGCTATCCTTAAGGAAGCTATCAACAACGCTATCCGCTGATGAATTTGCGAGAATTTATTTCGCTTGGTTACGAAAGCCTTCATCCTGCCCTGGAAGTGATAGCATGGTCGCTGAATGCACTGGCTACTGGTATTCATCCCTCTACCGACTATCAGGGAAATCCATATCGTGGAAGATATGTCGCAGGCACACAGATCGCAGGCCTGCAGCCATCAGCCAAACAGTAGAGCAGCTTCAGACCTGAGTCTGGATGTTTAATTATAACTGCCCCCTAAAGGTGGGCGACACTTTGTAATGGAGCTGAGAGGGGACTGGAAATGGCACAAGGAGTTTATGCGGCTGAAAGCTAGCTGGCAGTCTGTGTCGGTCTGTCATCTTTGTACTGCCCAATCCCGCGGTGCCAATTCGAAACCTGGCTGGCCTGTAGCATCAAGTTTATAATGTAAAACCTGAAGTGTTTGACCCCTAAAGCTTTGTAAGCAGACCATGAATATGTAATATATATTGTAATGCATTACAATATATATTACATATTCATGGTCTGCTTACATGGTACGAACTAGCTGCAGGTGGAAATCCAATCTGGACCGCGAGTTCCCCCGGCGACAGCAAGCTGACATCATTAGGAGCGGAATGAGGCTAGACGAACATCACGAAACAGTTTATAATATAGTCGTCTAGTACGTATATATATAGCTCAGACGAACCTGTTAGTGCTAGTGCGGGTTTAGGTACGGGTTGGTTGCTTTAATTTTTTTTGTACGATTATTAATGAACCCCTGCAGCCGGCCCGCGAATCCTCTGATCCTGGTCGACGGCTTTCGGCCGGAGTTTATCCGCACGTGTGCAATGCACACGATTCACTTGGGCATATTGCAGCTGCTTAACGGCTCCATCTTCACACTACTGGATGAACTCCGCCACCGGGTGCGAATGTTACTATGTTATTGGATTGTTTTGTAATTAGTGCTAGGATTTCGGACAGGGTTAAGGTGAGGGGTAGGTGAGGGGTAGTACGTGCAAACAGAAATCAGGCTGGATGGGCGAGGGCGATCTGACGGCTAAGATGGTTACGCTGTGCAACCGCTTCAAGAATTGGGCGTCGGCAAATCGCCTTCAGACGCTTGCATGCATCAGCAATGAGTTTGTATACATGACTCTGCAACTGCATAATTAAGCTTGGGAAACCAAGCTCGACTCAACCACTTCAGGGCCACTCGATGTTTTTGCTTTTTGGGCTGTACGTAGTTTATGCCTATCCGATATAAGCTGGGATCCAATTAAATTTATGTAACTTCTCAACCTAATCCCGGGCCGCCCCTGATAGTATTTTTTTGTACCCGCCTTAAGCCGAAGGCACTCGCAGGCGATGATGACGGGTGGGTTGCTCAGCTGGGAAGGCGGAGCCTTCCCACGGCTTGATCTTAAAGCCTGGAACTCTCGACTCATGACAGCCTTCTTCCACATCGTATTGCGGCAACTACAAGATCAGGCGTTCAGTGACGAATCGCTTCACAAAGAGATTCGACTTGCTTTCGGGCTGACCAACGCTATGATCACGTTCATCGATACGATGGAGCGCTCCCCGCGCTATTTGACTTCGCAGCAAGCGCAAGTGATGCACTCGGCATGCTCGACGTACTTGCAACTCAGCGAGGTCATTGCGCTGGTCGCGCAGCAGCGCGACAGAGCGCGATGGAAAGTGGTCCCTAAACACCACACATTCCGGCACATAGCCGAAGATCAGCTGAGCTGTCTTTACAATTATCGGCACTGCCATTGCTTCCTCGACGAGGACTTCGTGGGATTCTGGAAGACATTAGTACAGGCAGTGCCGAAGGAACTCTTAGAGTTCAGGTGTCTCACCCGGTGGCTCCTCAGGCTTAAGGTGATGTGATCAGGGTTTCAATTTGTTGGGCTTTTAGTGCTAGCTTATATAGAAAATTGGAATATATAGCGGCCCGGGAAACACTAGCTAAACCGAAATGTAAGAATTAATCATAGCTGAGCTCAACATCTTGAGATCCTGGCGCAGCATCGACATGCAGAGCTTGCCGAAGCCGTCAAAACGTGGAGCGAGGGACTTGAAGGCTACTGCTTGAAGGTTCGGGTTTTGCTGGGAGATTCAAGCTCCGACGACCTAGCTTTAGACCCAGAACGTGAACCTGAAACTTCAATCACCCTACCGCAGAAACCTCGTTACGAAGAGGTGTGAAGCCTTAAGGGTTGAGGCTTTTAAATTCGGTGTTGTGGGCTTTCGGTGTTGTGGGCTTTCTGCAGAGACCTCGATAATTATCGAGCTTGAGCTTTCCGCTTCGGGCCTATAATGCTTGAGAAGAAGTCCTGCACAGAACGGTTCTTAGTGCGAGGGTTTTTGGGCTTTGCCTGCATGTGAATCTCAGGCTTAACTGCAGAAGCTTGGAAGCTTTCGGATCCGGGGTTTTCTGATTCTAAGGGGCGAAGGGCTTTTGACAAACCGGGTTCGGGGCTGTGGGCTTTCTGAGCTCAGTCGGATTCGAAGGCCCTGCAGACTGGAGGCCACCTATAGTCTCCATTGTAGTTCCTTTTTTGAGTTTCCAATTTAATTTTATGGTTAACACCCTTATAATAGAACTTGGTTAACCTAAAAAAAGGAACTACAATGGAGACTATAGCTATAGCTTAAGTGTGCTGGCCCTCACTCCAAACTCGAAGCGACACCTTAAACCCCTAGGCCCAACAAAGCCTTCACGTGATCAGATAGCCTGCTGATTAATAACTCGCCCGAAACCTGCTACTAGCTCGAGATACCCCTAACTCATTATAAGCTCAGTTGATAACCACGCTTCCCAAGCGAAGAAGCACGAAACCGTAAGCCCGAGAACGCACAAATCGTGAAGTGTACCCACAAAACAAGAAGTGTACCCACAAATCGAGAAGTGTACCCGCAAATCGAGAAGTGTATCGTGTACGCACAAATCTAGAAGTGTACCCACAAATCGAGAAGTGTACCCCAGAATCGAACGAGTCTAGTCGTGATTGCCTATATATATATATATATATATATATATATAATCGTACGAGTATATGAGTACTACTATATATATATATATATATATATATATTATATATATATATATATGTACATATATATATGTATATATATTATTATTATATATATATAATAATAATAATAATAATAATAATAATAATAATAATAATAATAATAATAATAATAATAATAATAATAATAATAATATATATATATATATATATATATATCTTATATGCTATGGAATCATGGATTTTGGGGTTCTGTGGAATGTCTATGTTTTTTGTTAACGTATGGCTATGTTGGGCGATGTTGCCGATAATTGTGCACGTTCTGTAATGATCTCGGTTTTTGGCGCCTTTGGATGGAGAGGGTAGTAGAGGGCTGCTTACTCCAACGTTGGAGTAGAAGCGTGCCCTAGTAGGGGGCTGCTTACTCCAACGTTGGAGTAGGAGCGTGGCCTAGTAGGGGGCTGCTTACTCCAACGTTGGAGTAGAAGCGTGCCTAGTAGGGGGCTGCTTACTCCAACGTTGGAGTAGGAGCGTGCCCTAGTAGGGGGCTGCTTACTCCAACGTTGGAGTAGGAGCGTGCCCTAGTAGGGGGCTGCTTACTCCAACGTTGGGGTAGGAGCGTGCCCTAGTAGGGGGCTGCTTACTCCAACGTTGGAGTAGGAGCGTGCCCTAGTAGGGGGCTGCTTACTCCAACGTGGAGTAGGAGCGTGCCCTAGTAGGGGGCTGCTTACTCCAACGTTGGAGTAGGAGCGTGCCCTAGTAGGGGGCTGCTTACTCCAACGTTAGTAGGGGGCTGTATTGGGGTGCAACTCCAACGTTGGCTTACCTCCAACGTTGGAGTAGGAGCGTGCCCTCGTAGGGGGCTGCTTACTCCAACGTTGGAGTAGAAGCGTGCCCTAGTAGGGGGCTGCTTACTCCAACGTTGGAGTAGAAGCGTGCCCTATAGGGGGCTGCTTACTCCAACGTTGGAGTAGGAGCGTGCCCTAGTAGGGGGCTGCTTACTCCAACGTTGGATTAGGAGCGTGCCCTAGTAGGGGGCTGCTTACTCCAACGTTGGAGTAGGAGCGTGCCCTAGTAGGGGGCTGCTTACTCCAACGTTGGAGTAGGAGCGTGCCCTGTAGGGGGCTGCTTACTCCAACGTTGGAGTAGAAGCGTGCCCTAGTAGGGGGCTGCTTACTCCAACGTTGGAGTAGGAGCGTGCCCTAGTAGGGGGCTGCTTACTCCAACGTTGGAGTAGGAGCGTGCCCTAGTAGGGGGCTGCTTACTCCAACGTTGGAGTAGAAGCGTGCCCTAGTAGGGGGCTGCTTACTCCAACGTTGGAGTAGGAGCGTGCCCTAGTAGGGGGCTGCTTACTCCAACGTTGGAGTAGGAGCGTGCCCTAGTAGGGGGCTGCTTACTCCAACGTTGGAGTAGGAGCGTGCCCTAGTAGGGGGCTGCTTACTCCAACGTTGGAGTAGGAGCGTGCCCTAGTAGGGGGCTGCTTACTCCAACGTTGGAGTAGGAGCGTGCCCTAGTAGGGGGCTGCTTACTCCAACGTTGGAGTAGAAGCGTGCCCTAGTAGGGGGCTGCTTACTCCAACGTTTGAGTAGAAGCGTGCCCTAGTGGGGGGCTGCTTACTCCAACGTTGGAGTAGGAGCGTGCCCTAGTAGGGGGCTGCTTACTCCAACGTTGGAGTAGGAGCGTGCCCTAGTAGGGGGCTGCTTACTCCAACGTTGAGTAGGAGCGTGCCCTAGTAGGGGGCTGCTTACTCCAACGTTGGAGTAGGAGCGTGCCCTAGTAGGGGGCTGCTTACTCCAACGTTGGAGTAGGAGCGTGCCCTAGTAGGGGTCCTTTTGGGGCTTCCTCCCAACGGTGGCGGTAGAGCGTGCCCTAGTCAGGGGGCTGGCTTACTCCAACGTTGTAGTAGGTCGTGCCCGTAGTAGGGGGCTGCTTACTCCAACGTTGAGTAGGAGCGTGCCCTAGTAGGGGGCTGCTTACTCCAACGTTGGAGTAGGAAGAGGGCCGAAGCGAGGAGTTTAGTGTGGTTTTCGTGTGGCCGGGCAGTACCGAGATTGTTTGTGTGGTTTCATGTGGCCAGGGCAGTACCCGAGATGGTTTCGGGGTTTCGGTGCAAGGGCCAGTACTCGAGAGGCTTCGTGTGCTTTAGGTGGCCAGGGCATTACTCGAGATGTTTCGTGTGGTTTCATGTGGCCAGGGCAGTACTCGAGATGTTTCGTGTGGTTTCGTGTGGCCAGCGCAATACTCGAGATGTTTCATGTGGTTTCGTGTGGCCAGGGCAGTACTCGAGATGCTTCGTGTGGTTTCGTGCGGCCAGGGCAGTACTCGAGATGTTTCGTGTGGTTTCGTGTGGCCAGGCCAGTACTCGAGATGTTTCGTGTGGTTTCGTGTGGCCAGGGCAGTACTCGAGATGTTTCGTGTGGTTTCGTGTGGCCAGGGCAGTACTCGAGATGTGTCGTGTGGTTCCGTGTGGCCAGGGCAGTACTCGAGATGTGTCGTGTGGTTTCGTGTGGCCAGGGCAGTACTCGAGATGTTTCGTGTGGTTTCGTGTGGCCAGGGCAGTACTAGAGATGTGTAGTGTGGTTTCGTGTGGCCAGGGCAGTACTCGAGATGTGTCGTGTGGTTTCGTGTGGCCAGGGCAGTACTCGAGATGTTTCGTGTGGTTTCGTGTGGCCAGGGCAGTACTCGAGATGTGTAGTGTGGTTTCGTGTGGCCAGGGCAGTACTCGAGATGGTTCGTGTGGTTTCGTTTGGCCAGGGCAGTACTCGAGATGGTTCGTGTGGT